TTTTTTTAAAGATGACCATCTTTTCCTTCTGCCTTCTGCCTATTATTTCGCCTCTCCCGCTCCCTCACGCGTCTTTTTAATTTATAAAAGTTTTCCGCCCCTCTGGTATTTCTTTGCTCTGCTCCCCCCATTTTTTTTCCAATTTTGGCCCCTCAAAAAAAGGCCGGTGGTCACGGATTTCGTTCTTTGCGGTCCTTCGCGCGAGGGTTAATGGACTGGCCTGGTGGGCGAACCCGACAATCTAAAAATCGGACAAAGCTTGTGTTTTCTTTTCCCCCCCCCCCCCCCCCCCACAAGTGACAGCACGGTGAAGAGTCCGAGTAATTATTAAATTTTGTTTGCACGGCGACACAGCGTTTATACTGTACAACCTGCATATTACAAATGTTGCGTTATCAGTTTACCTTCGCCAAATTTCAGGGTGGTAACGAAAGCGAAAGTAGATCTTGATTTTCCCGATTGAGCCTCGGTGTCACATACACTTCCACCTGCCGCCATAGCCGGCTTTTCGTGTGAAACGTACTCTCGGACGCGGAAAAGGGGAACGAATAATTATATCACAATCGCGACCTGCAAAAACGGAGTCATGTACCGCAGCTAGGGTTCACTGAAAAGTCTTGCTGGCTTCATCACTCAGTATGCAGGCTATTTTACGACCGTTTACCAAATTTTTACTACCTTCAAGGCAAATTTACTACCATTTACGACCTTTACGACCAGGACGTTGAATTTACGACTTTGCTGGAAACCCTGTGGGTATTTCTTTCATCAAAAGCAAGAAAAATGAACACACTCTAAGATGATACCAATAACTCTACAAGTCCAAAAATTGACGAGCACCTGATTCCACTGTGTTGCGACACATAAGAGATATATAAAAACATATTGAGAATAATCTGAAGAGAAAACAACAACATAATACTTCTCCCCTTGCAATTATTTTTATACCATAATTACACTGATCAAGACGTCCATCAGTCTATGACAATCACTTTTCTCTCCATTATATGGGCGGCCAACTCTGACAATTTTCACTGTACTTCACTTCCCAATACAACTGGCCTTGATTCTCTCTCCCCTTTACCTGTAGAGCTGTCACCAGTGTCAGCGGTGGACATGCGGGCCACGTGATCCACACCTATCCTCTCCGCCTCTTCTGTGGCCAGAGTGTAAGGAATGTCCACAAACAGAACTGTCGCCTGAGGGAAACGAAAAAAGCTGAGCTCATCTCGCCAAAATAACCCCCCCCCCCACCCCCAATTTGTTTTAAAATAGGCACATTAAAGCACTGTTCATAATGAGGAAGTGGAGGAGGAGACAACAATGTATTTCACATCTACAACTATTATTAAAAGAGAAAAAAATGCCCAGCACAAAAATGTATCTAAAACAGGTACAACATAAAGATGTATGCAAAATAACATCTTCAACACGGTTGAGTTGCCAAAGCCAAGAACTGCACATCATAGTTACACACTTATCTTGAACGAAACACAGACAAAAAAGCAACTTTCTGTTCTTTCTGAAGCCTGATCCAAGCATTCTTATAATATTTATCACTCTGCCACACACTGTGTTTAAGATATTCCAGATTTTGATCGCTTGAATTACTCCCAAAATAACCCTGGTCCTGTCTATCGCATGTGACAAACATCGTGGGCAAGGTTCCCACTCATCAAGGAGAAAAATGTTCCGTTTTTTTCCTGGTTTACGCCTGGAGCTGTAACCATTTTCAAAGCAATTTTCTTTTTAGATGGAGCAACGAAGAGGAAATGAAGAGAAATGCAAGATGTAACACGTGCAATGGCCACAGACAGTCCCCGTTCCTGGGGTGTCAGTGTCGAGGAGAAGGGTTATAGGATGTAAAGTTTATTAAAGCGTGATAAAACTGAAAGAGGTATCGAAGGGCTCGTCGTTAAGTCAAGAAAAAAAAAGAGGGGGGGGGGGGGGGGGGGGGGCCACGAGTTATTGGATTGGCTCTTGCAAAAACAAAGGAGACCGACGGGATGCGTCACAAACCTTCAATCTTAACTGTACACCACAATATAACTTACTAATATATGTCAAAATTACACCATTCTCATGATTCAGTCTCCAGCCCCAAGAACTGCATATCCAACTTAACACAAAACTTACCTCCCACAAAACCTTGATAAAAACCTTTTTATACGTTCTCAAGCCTGATCCAAGCATTCTCATTAGGGCTGGACTCTGCTCAATTAATCGAGGGCTTGCGAGCAAGCGGACGGCTTGTGCCAGGGGCTTGCGAGCAGTCTTGTCCTTTGCCGCTACCGGAGTTGCAGCTCGCGGACGGCGGATGGACTTGATTTGTGTCGTGACATCACAGATTCTTGTTTACGGAGCGCGCGATACTTCTGCCCGCGTGCCGCACGCTGAAAAGCCCTCACCCTCACACTTCCAGCAACGGCGTTGTTTGGGGAGAGGAGGGGAGGGGTGGTGTGGCTGTGAAAGCGAGAGGTGTTCGCCACCCCTCACTTTCCGTAGAGCCCGCCCCTCCCCTTACGCCTCCTGTCGTGACAGGATTTTGTTTGTTTTGAAGGGTTGCTTTTTTTGTTGCGCTTTTTTTTTTTGGGGGGGGGAGGGGGGGGGGGGTGGGGGAAAAATT